AACTTTAGCAATTCCCAAATGATACTACATACTTGTATGTAATTCCAAATGCAATATGCCTATGTGTTCTCAGATCCAAAGCGACTACCAATTGTATACGGTTAGGTTTTAAACACATTTTGCAAGCTAGTGTTGTGTTTCTTTTGTTCTTATCTAGTCCAAAGAGTGACATTTTGCTCTCCTGTTTTACAGGGGAGTGCCTGGTAAAATAATGATGAAGTGCTGTTCAGAGCAATCTGTCAGCAGCAAGCCTCTGACCAGACATGTTTTATCCGGCTTTGCTGCAACGTTAGTATTTGTCTCTCAAATAAACCAGGTTAGTAGATTTAATCTTTTGTAGTGTTATAGGATGCTAGAATTGAAAATTTATGTTCTGACAAAGCTTCCTCCTTCAGGAGAAGCAGAAGATTTATATTCCTAGCTGGTAAATTTGACTCATCCAATTGTATAAAAAACTTTAAAAAGCATAGGTGTTGGACCAATCATTTCCTTGGGTTACATCTTATAAGCTCCCAGTAAAAATTTAGCCCCTTCAGATCTACATTTGTTTCAGTTCTTTCCCATATCAGGATTGTCAGAAGATTTCTGGTAGGGATGCTTGAGCTTTGTGTTCTTGATCTTTTATTTAAAACCTTGTAGAACAATGAGTTGTCCGTTTCCTTCAATTCTCCACTCTGTAACAATTTACTTAAACTAGATTAGGATTTTCACGAGAATTCGTTGGATTGATGGATAGAAAGTTTATTGAGGAATTTAGTCCAAAACTAGATTTCCATACGGTTGTAATAACAATAGATATTAGGTATTCTTGTGTCATCGCAGGAGCTAGAGGGTACTTGATGCCTTTTACTGCTTTTGGGCAGGCCGTTGCATCAGATGCTTCCCATCAACAAAATATTTATGAGCTTGCAAATGCCCCTGAAAAGACAGTTACTCTTCCGCTTGACAAGGGATCTGATGAAGGAGGTGAGAAGCTAATGATGATGAGAGGCATGACTGCAAATAATTTCAACCCTATTAGATATTCTGGAAGGTGGTTTGAAGTTGCTTCGCTGAAACGTGGATTTTCTGGGCAAGGTCAGGAAGACTGCCACTGCACCCAGGTAAATTCGGGTATGTGTAGCTACTGCGACTTTTGGTGTTGAAATCTTGCTTCTGGAAATAATGTAGATATGATAGGAGTTTAGATTCTCCCCCTTCTGTTGCATTGGACTTGACTGCAGATCTGAATTGTTCAACCTGCTCATCAAGCATTCGTGAGCTGTCTAGCTGTCTATCAATAGCCTTTCCAAATTGCAAGTGGTCCAAATCATTCTGAAAGCAATATCAGCTTTCTTGTCATGCTTTGCTTCTCATTGGTTATGGATAACAGGTTTTTTCTGCCAAATGCTAGCCACCTTATTCTGACTGCAAAAACATTTGATTTAATAAATTGCAGGGTGTGTATACATTTGATATGGAGAAACGGGCCATCCAGGTTGATACCTTTTGTGTTCATGGTAGCCCCGATGGATATATTACTGGCATAAGGGGAAATGTTCAATGCCTTTCGGAAGAAGATTTGGGAAAAAATGAGACGGTCCTAGAAAAGCAAGAGATGATCAAAGAGAAGTGTTACCTCCGTTTTCCAACATTGCCATTCATCCCGAAGCAGCCATATGATGTGATTGCAACTGATTATGACAATTTTGCGCTTGTTTCAGGAGCAAAAGATAGGAGTTTTATACAGGTACTTACTCATGAAATGACTTTCATTTTATAGGAATATTCAGGATTCATGTTTATCTGCGTATAATTTTTGGCATTGATATATTTCAGATTTACTCCAGAACGCCTAATCCTGGTCCTGAATTCATAGAGAAGTACAAATTTTACTTGGCCAACTTCGGATATGACCCAAGCAAAATTACGGACACCCCACAAGACTGTCAATCAATGACGGATAGTCGGTTATCTGCAATGATGTCCATGTCCGAAATGCAACAGGCTTTAACAAATCAATTTCCTGCTCTGGAATTGAAGCGCTCTGTCCAGTTTGACCCCTTTACGAGTGTATTTGACACTCTAAAGAAGCTTGTGCAGCTTTATTTTAAGTAGTCCTGAGCTGGTTAGTCTTGCTCTTCTTGTTCCTTATCTGTTCTGTTCTTACCAACCAGCCAAAAGAGAGAATATGTTGGTGTGCAACTACTTCAACTACAACTATACTTTCATATCATTCATGATTTTAATTTATAATCTGCCTCTAAATTGTACATCTTGGAAACAAGTCTGGGTTCTTGGCAATGAGATCAGCTCTAGGAAATGTTACACTGTAATAATTACAGTTTGTGCCACTAGAAGCAGTGCCCTAACTACAAGAAACGCTTGCAAGAAATGGGGATAGCAAAATGGTGCTATTTCCTAACTCATGCTAGGGTACCTACAATTTTGATGGGTCTTTTGGTTTTTTGACTGATGCTTCTTGTGTTGTAGAAATGCCATTTTCTAACTCTTGGCCAAGAAACCTTATATCTATGCAATCCCATCAACTCCTACACACAACTTTTACCTAATATATTTTTCTCCCTCGTCTTGTTTGTTTGGTCAGAAAAATGGTCTAGAGGATGGCAACAGGAAGACAGCTAAGAAGATATATTTCATACCCATAAAAAATGTATATATAAAAAAATATTTCAAAACAACAACTATTCTTCAAACATTATAATTCTTAAAAAGAAAAAAAGAAAAAGAAAGAGTAAATGTCTGTAAATAAAAAAATAAAAATAAAATGGGTTTAGTTGGGCCAAAAGAAGGCCCATAATTTCCCAGCTGATCCGCACCGATAACATCCAATATAAAACGGGAGCCTGGTGGAAAAGGGTGGGAATTTTTTTTGGTAAGAAGTGTTTACTCTGGAGAAAAAGTAAAAGGCGAAACGAAAACCATGAAACTCTCGTTCTCTCTTCCATCGAAACCCTCTTCAAACCCCAACCCCAAGCCCTCAACCACATTCAGCGACAGCAACGCCGACCCAAACGATGACAGTTCAATTCAATACGTCAACGAATTCGACGCCTCGAAACCCCTACGCGGCGACCCCAAAACCCACGTAATCCCTCCGATCCCTAACGAATGGCTGATGAAACCCGAATCCGAGAATCGCTCCGAGGTACGGTCGCTCTCTGCCAGGATTTCCAACGGTCTCAATCTCCGGCCAAAGCTCGAATCGGAGAACGGGGAAGGCGATGAACGGTTGAGATCTGCAGGCGTGGATTTGGAGACGCTGGCGCTCCAGAAATTGAAAGAGGACTTGGAGCGGTTGCCGGAGCACAGGGGAATGGAGGAGTACAAAGACGTGTCGGTGGAGGGCTTCGGGACGGCGTTGCTTGCCGGGTATGGGTGGTGTCCGGGCAAAGGAATAGGGAAGCACGCTGAGAAGGATGTCAAGGTCGTGGAGTTCAGTCGGAGACCGAACGACAGGCACGGGTTAGGGTTTCGTATGGGTCGTGTAGACGACCAGCAGTGAAAAATAGTACATAGTGTTTTCTGTGTTGCAATTTTTTTATTTATAAATAGCTTGTTTAATTGAAGGCTAAAGTATATATCAGCACATTATTAAACAATCTTTTGCAGGCTAGTCGTCTCAAATTCAAATTCCGGTCATCATATACGACGATTAAAAAGACTAGTACCAATTGCGATGCTCAGTTCTCGGTTTCTTCGTTCGATTAATTTGATTTTTTTGTTGTGCTTCACCCATCATCGTTTGAAGAACAGCCTCACACATCCGTCACGAGCTTAAAAGGGAAACAACAAAAAGATAATGGATGACGACGTTGGAGGTGTAGCTGGGTTGAGACCGTGAGGTAAATGAGGGAGGTTGAGACTGAGGGATGATGAACAACCTTGATGGAGATGAGAAAAGCTAAGATAGATGAGGAAGTTAGGATTTTAGTTGTACATTCATAAGAAAGATAAATTATCTATATATATAAAATATCAAAATACCAGAAAATGCTATTCTTAATTCAAACATTAAGAATCAAAATTATTAATTAAATGAAGATAATATGGTAAATTTATATTTTTAATATTAAAAAAATTAAAATTAAAACAAAATCAGATAATAAGCCATACTTTTATGAAAAATAACTACTCATATTATCTTTTCTTAATTCTAAAAATAAAAGAAAACCAATTGGCACCCAAGGGGCTAGTAATAGTATATGGGTTTGATTTGGTTTTTAAGTGACAACAATCGATAACTGAATTGGGTTCAAATTAAAATTGATTTTTTAATCTTTTCCGTTTCCATTCCGTTGGATTCAATTTGATTCAGTGATTTATTAGTTTAGATGCCCACCCCTAACAAAAATTCGAAGAAAGGGTTTGCATCAGACCTAGCATATTAGAAAAAGATATCATATTTATGATATGCTTCGGTTTTTTAGTTGAAAATCCTTCTTACAATGTACTTGCATTAGAAAAATATCGACTCCGTAAGATTTCATAGGGTCGTTGGATCTAAGGAGGACAATTTTCTCCACATGTTAGGGTTTCCGCAGGTGAGTTGGGTAGGAGGATAAAAATTGAATATGGGAACAAATTTGGAGAAATTTTCAACTATAGGGTTTCCGCATGAGTGCTGTGGAGACGCGAGGAAGAGTTGAGAAAAGACATGAGGCCACTTACCAGGGACGTTATGGTTTTTTAATTTGTTTTTTCAGTTTTTTTATTTAAGAATTATTGAAAAGAGAACAAATAAAAAATAAAATACACATGTCAACAATCATTAATTGACATAGCATGACACATTAGTTGCCAACTCACCACATAAAGTGATAAGCTAAAGTGATTAATGTTGTGTGTCTAAATAGCGCAACCCCGTAAAAAAATGCTTAACTACGAATCTACGATGGAAATGGGAATGACATATCCACCCCCATTTGCCTCGTCATCCCTAGTTGGATTGGGTTTTTTTTTTTTCCAATCCTGCTTGGAATGGGTTGAATTGGGGCAAAGGAAAAGCCCATAAATGCTCCACCAACCAAAAACACACGCACGCAAAATAAAAAGCTGGAGCCTTTAGACGATCAGGGAGTCAAAGCTGTTAAACATAGCCAGTCGCAGCCTAATCATCGTTTCTCTCTGAAAAATCAGAGGAAACGAAACCATGAAACTCTCCTTCTCTCTGCCACCCAAATCCTCTTCAAAATCAAACCCTAAACGCAAACCCTCAACCACCGCCACTACCTTCGACGACGGCAATGGCAACCCAAACGACGCCGCTTCGAAACACTTCGTCAACGAATTCGACGCCTCCAAAACCCTATCCACCGACCCCAAAACCCGCGTAATCGCTCCGATCCCGAACGAGTGGCAGCCCCACAAGAAGATGAAGAATCTCGAGCTTCCAATCACCGAGCCCGGAGGCCAAGAACTTAAGTTCGAGGTCGAGACGCTATCGGTCAACGACGACCCCGATGCGAAGATTTCGTACGGTCTCAATGTGCGGCAGAAATTGGGTGCGGAATCGGAGAATCGGGACGGTGGTGATGAACATCCGAGATTGAGAGGTGTGGAGGACACTCTGCTTCAGAAATTTAAAGACGACTTGGAGCGCTTGTCGGATCACAGGGGCTTGGAGGAGTTTGATGAGATGCCGGTAGAGGGTTACGGCGAGGCGTTGCTTTCTGGGTACGGGTGGTACCCGGGAAGAGGGATTGGAAAGAATGCTAAGGAAGATGCGAAGGTTGTAGAGTATACAAGGAGTACTGATAGGCACGGGTTAGGGTTTCATATGAATCCGAAGGAGAAAGAGAAAAAGCAAGAGAAAGAGAGAAAGAAAGATGGGGATTTGGGTAAGGAGGTGAGGATTGTTTCGGGTAGAGACTATGTGGGTTTGAGGGGTAGGATTGTTGAGAAATTGGGCAATGGCAAACTGGTATTGAAGCTCTCGAGTAGGGGCAAAGAGCAAGAGCAAGAGGTAGTGAAAGTGAATGTGGATCAAGTTGCTGAAATGGGTTCGAAAGAAGAAGAGAAGTGCTTGAAGAGATTGAAGGAAGCCCAAAGGAAAGTGGGTAGTGATAGTAAGCCAAGACGAGAAGAGCAGAGGGTTTATTCAACGTGGCTTGCCCGTCACATTCGAGTTAGGGTTATAAGCAAGGACTTGAAAGGTGGGAAATTGTATTTGAAAAAAGGGGAGGTGATGGATGTCGTTGGACCCAAAACTTGTGATATATCTATGGATGGGAGTAGGGAGCTTGTGCAGGGGGTGTCCCAGGATCTTCTTGAGACTGCGCTGCCAAGACGGGGCGGATCCGTCCTTGTGTTGTCTGGAAAGCACAAGGGGGTCTTTGGCAATCTTGTTGAGAAGGATTCAGACCGAGAAACTGGTGTTGTCAGAGATGCTGATACCCATGAATTGCTCAATGTGAGTCTTGAGCAGATTGCTGAGTTTACTGGCGATCCCAGCGACCTTGGATATTGATTCATAGGTACTTTGAACCAGAATTCAATTCCCTTTATGCTGTATTTGTAAGCTGAAATTCATTGTCTAAATTTGTATCTCGGTTTCTCATGCTTTACCACAATTTGATTCCCTTTATGCTTTACTTTCTCCTTAAACTTATAAGTATGTTGTCTCATTTTCTTCAGTGCATGACATTTCTAGTATTCTGAGTTTGATTACTTTGATCAGATACATATCTTTAAATTTAAGGTGTTTGCCATGATGTTTAACTTATGGGAATTCCACGTATGTACTTTTGTATACTTTGTTTAATTTCTTTTAACTTCCATCTATACCATCAGTCTTCATTCTACCAAATCCAACTTTCTGTGAGTTGTATGATGAGCAATTTGTGCCAATTAGAAGGGGGTACTGGCACTCCTTGGGTTATAAGTTAAAATTCTTTTAGTTATTTAATGATTGAACTTCTGAATAGCGGAAAGAGAGATAATATCTCGATCTGAAAAGGTCATTTTTTAACAAGTAGTAGTTTAAGAATTGGGTGATTTAAGACAATAGAATATCAGTTAATTTAGTCTAATATTTGGATTTTTCTGGATCTCTTTTAGTCTGCAAAGGTCGCTCTTTTTTAGGAAAGCCGTTTTGCTTATGAAAAGATTCTGCATAACTGATTTCCCTTTAGGATGAGAGTTATATCTTTGTACGTAGAAATCTGCTAACTGCTAAGCGGGAAGTAAAAGTCAAACAATGGACAGACATATAAAGCAAAGATAGAATCACTTTATATAACAAGGTCCAAATCTACATCCGTAAGAACTGCAACCTGATGCCCGTTTTCTTGCTTGTATTGACACCAAAGTATTGTCTCCGGTATCAAACTTTTTTTTCTCAATTTTCCCATCATTAACCTCAATCATGACCCAAAGTCAAACAGTGAGCTATCCTTGCATTGTGAAAGTAAGCAGTCAGAAATATTCTTGCAGTATGAAACTAAGTATCCTAATAGCAAGCAGCTACCGAGACTGGCTCTCCTAAGTCCATTTGATCCATAACCATTTTAAATATCACTGCCTTTTGCATTTGATCTATTAACCTTACCTATTGCTTTGGCTTCACAAATCCAGATGTAACAGGCTGTGTGTTTTAAGGTTATGGAATTTTGGTTGGCAATTGTGATTTTATTTCAAGTGTGCATCTCTCTTCATCCAATCATTTGTATCCTCTTGGAAAATCATAAACTGTGGTAGATTTCGGTCCTGAGTCACAGCCTGATTAGATGAACATACGATGCTTTTAGAGTATGGATCACGTATTATTAGAATCATTGGAAATCACTGCGAACGAGTCTAGTTTTGTTGCTTATAAGTAACTTCAAGTTAGAATCGTTCGCAAATGATTTGTAAAAAGCACCTATATAATATATCCAAGACACGTACATATTAGAATAATTTAAAGAAGTTTTCGCAGCCACAATGCTCTTCTCTAGGATTGTGTGTGATGCAACCTCAATCCAAGGTGCAACTGACAGTGTGGAAAATTTTCCACTATTAGATATTCTGGAAGGTGGTTTGAAGTTACTTCACTTAAACTTGGATTTACTGGAAGGCTAGGAACAACTACTACTGCACCTAGGTAAATGCAAAGGGCATTTGTTGTAGTGAATTGTGACTTCTAATATTGATATATTGCGAGCATGATATGGAGAGGAATTGTGTTGGGAGAACTTTTGGGTCCAAATTTAATGGACTGTGCTGTTATACTGGGGAGAAGTTAGATTTTTCTGTATTGTTGGACTCAACTGCAGATCCAAAATGTTTAGCACGACCGTCAATGGTTCCTGCTTGTCTAATAGAGATAGCCCTTCAAGTTGCGATCCAAGTCATTCTGAAAGCAACATCTTTCGTGTTAAGCTTTCACGTATCATTGCTTGTAAATAATAGGTTTTTTTATATTTATTTTTAAATTTATAAATCTTAACCACCTATTTCTGACTGCAGAGGTATTTCAACTTATCAAATTGCTGGGTGTATATACATATGATATGGAGACACCATCAATCCAGTTTGATACCTTCTGTGTTAATGGGGGTCCTGATGGGATATATTAGTGGCATGAGGGGAAAGGTTGAATGCCTTTCAGAGGAAGATTTGGGGAAAAAATGAGACAGAGCTAGTAAAGCAGGAGATGATCAAAGAGAAGTGTTACCATTTATTCCTAAAGAGCCATATGATGTGATTGCATGTGATTGCAAGAGTCACCATTTCTACAGGTACTTATGGAAACGGCTTTCAATTTATAGGATATTACATAAATTATTCGTGTTTATTTGTGAGAACTTTAGGTATCCATGTCACTTCCGTTTGGATCTATGCTTTCAATCTTGAAGACTAGTCTCACCTGATGTTTTATAGGTGTAGTTCAACCACTGCCATATGTATAAACAAGCCTGTCGGTTAACCTTGGGAGTAAGGGTTTTGTGGTGTGCCGGATGTATGTCATGTTAGAGTATACTAAGTCATGTTCTCTAAATAGTGTAAGAAGCTTGACGAGAGACAATCTTAACTTCTGTCTCTCCAGTTTAGGGATGTTGCAATTATCTCTGAGCATTTTATTTGCAAATTGTTTCTTAAATCATTTTTGCCGTTAATGTATCAGATTTGCTCGAGAATTCCTTATCCTGGTCCTGAAAACACAGAGAGGTACAAATCTTACTTGTTGGAATTTGGACATGTGGTCCAAACAGAATCATTGGCACCCTATAAGGTCGGATAGTCGGCTATCTGCAATGATGCTAATGTTCGGAATGTGGAAGGCTTGACAAATGAATTTTCTGATCTAGAACTGAAACTTGGAGTATAACACCTTGCTAGTTTCTTTGCAGAAGAAGCTATTATTGAGCTTGCTCCATAGCGTGTTAATTATGTGCAATTTAAACCAACCCCTTTGTTCTAATCTCAACAATTTAGCCCAGAGAGTTTAAATTGGACTGCTCCTTGTGTTTATTATATTGATCCATAATACGTGCGATGCATGGAGAATTTTTCAGTCCCTATATGATTGCTATTTAGAGTTGCGGAATCTGAGTTGGAGAGACCGGATTGGCTCCTCCCTTTTTGCACAAAATGTATTCTTTGTCATCACTCTGTAAGCTTTCATATTTTTCCTTTACCATTTGCGCAACTTTTTGGTCTGTTTTACGTAACAATAAAAGCAAGGTGTGTACAACTTCTACGCAATAAGTTTCGTTCCCAAGAAGGAAATCTTTGGAACTAGGCATTTTATAGCAATAACAAAATGAACAACCAACAACAGTCGTTATTAAGATGAACCATAGCTTCTTTTTAGAAGAAATTCGTAGAACTAAAAGGATCTTAGAGTTGTAACCAAAAATAAAGAAGGATGTTAGAGCAAACGGAAAACATCAAAACAACCAAGGAATGATTCAATGAAGGAAGAAGAAACCTGGACTGCCGTTTAATGGTTTACATTTATGAAAATGGAGCTGGATGTTATTCATACTTCTTGTTTTCGTGTTTTATGCAAAGCATAAATGGTGGGGCGTTTTTGGTTTTTGGTTTTGTTTTTGGGTAATCATGGGTTTTTGTTTTTGTTTAATAAAGTTATTCCTTATACATCAAATAAGAAAACTTTGATTTTATGGGATTTTAGTTCGAAGTATATATTGACTTAATGAGCTATCATTTTTAGCAACATACTAATCAAAGCTTGATCCTTCTGAGAGCACTTCAGACAGAACTGGGAGTAGAAGAGACAGCACCATCAATGCCAGCCAAAGAAACAGTATACTCTGCTAAAGGAGTGGAAGTCGTTGGATTAGTGAAGCTCATCAACACATCATTTTAGATGGATAGTCTTGTACTTAATTGTCAAAGTTTTCAACAATGCAAAGAACCGACGTTGTTAACACCTCACAAATAAGCTTTTCATCCTCATTTTGCAGACATACTCTTTATTATCCATTCCAACGTTTTGAAAGACGAGGCGTTTTAGTCACGCTATACAAGGCGTAAGCCGTGAAGCAGTGAGACGTAAGCCTTCTGAATATTAATTTATTTTAATAAGAAAAATTTATGAATAATACCATACAATTAAATTATACAACTAAATTATACGGAACTTTAAATTACAGTTGCGAAGCATTAGAGAGAAAATAGAATGGCTTACTTGCAGTATAAAGATGAAGAGATTTCTTGAAATTGATAGAGATTATCTTGAAAACACTGATCCATTAATCTTTCTTATTTTCGAATAACGTTTTAGCATTCTCCAATATCTTAATTAGTCGTCCAAATTAAAGCAATATTTCATCAGATGTATAACCCAATATGAGAATTCAAAAGCATGAAAGCAATCAATTAGAAATAGCATACTTCGTCATGTTTGGCATTGGACTAGAGTGAGTCATGGATGTATTGTGAGGAAGGAGATTCAGCATGGGCTTGATTGGTTCTTCAAATACAGGGTTGATGTGCCAATTTTGTTTTGATTGTTTTATTTTGAGTTGGTTTTAGCTAATATTTTTAAGAAAACAAATTTTTGTGTATGATATGAATGCATGAAGGGACCTAAGGTCAATTTAGGCAAAAAATCTTAAATGTTCAATCCACAAAGAGTTTTACAAGAATAACCTAACTCTTACGTTTTGAAAAAAAATATTTGCTTGAATAAGCTCCCTTTGAGACAGTACTTATAAGGGTTCAAAGTTTGAGAGCTAGTCCCAAAAGAGATGCAGATAAAGTCCAAAATCAAAACGATGATAGAACTAAAACATGACGTGCATGCCCTAAAATGAGCAAGATTGCACTAATATACGCCAGCTCTTACGTCGAATAGGACGAGATGCCTTGGGAAGAGAAAAGGATTGCGCTATTTTTTGGTTTATTATCACATTCTTAGAGATATTTCTAGTTTATTACAGTGTCTGTCTATTTTTTAAAGTTGATGCAGTTCTTTTTGATAATGAACATGAGTACTTGGTATGGTTTTATCTATTAACTATGAATTAGAATATTATCGTTTCATTTCGATGGGTCTATTTTGTATAGAATTTATTTTTTAACCTTTACACCTTGACCTCCGGAATGAAAATTTCTGGATCCTCCTCTGGGTGCAATAAGAAGAAGAAGAAGCAGCTATATTCCACATCATCATCTTCAGCATTTTTCGAATAATAGCACTGACACTGAGTAAGAAAATGTGCAAAACTAGCCTTTATTTAAACATACTAAAATTCTAAACGAAGTTCATTCAAACACGCTTTTTGACATCTTCTACTTGTTGGAGTGTGCATAGAACAACCTCCTCCATGGCTTTGGAATTGAACCATCGACTTTCGGGTCCCCTTCTAATTATTTAGACTTAATTAAACCAATACCCCTGAAATCTTGGTCAAATTCCACTTTGCCCCTTCAAACTCAAAATGACCCAGTTTCATCCATTCAACTCCATCCAAAAGCCTGTTAACTTTGATGACGTGACAAAGGTGTTTTTGTAATTTCATACACATGAATCATTATCCATCAATTGAGTGAGTGACATGGCAAGTGGAGCCCACTTCCACATAAGAAATTCTAAATCAATTTTAAAAATAATAATTTTAAAATAAATAAATATTAGGGTAAATTAATTAATTATTTTTTGAGAAAAAGGAAAAAAGTATTTATTACTATAAAATACTATTAACCTTTACGTCAAGGTCTGCCCAAATACCAAATATTTGCATACGTCTAAGTTTTAACTAAGGCAAGAAAATGTTTACTTCTTTCAATACTTCTTAATTTCAAGCTCTTCTTAGGATTATTGCGTATTGCAACTGCATCTTTTGCATTCACTTATTAAGGGTAAATGTGGTAAATGAGCTTTTGTGTTTTTTAAATGACATCATGCACCATACTAGTTACTGTTAAGAGTATTGTCCCACGTTCAAAAATTAAGAGACATATACGTGGTAGTGTTTTATTACTTTCCATTAATTTTTCTTAAAAAAATGTATAGTTAGCGTTCCCTTGTATTGTGAATGTCAAATATGCATTTCTGTACAAAAGATAAATAGGAGATATACATAGACTAGCTAAGTATGATTTGGCTTGTGAGTGTTTTCTTGTTTAGTATGAGCTCTTTGCTTATTTTATTTAGAACATATTTTTAGAGGATATTACTGATCGGGGTCATAGATTTTGTTTCAAATTAATAAACTTTCCTTAGTAACGTTCGTTTTATCTCAAAACAAGAGAAATACATGTAACTTGATAATAATACTTGGCACATACTTGTCATGGTAGGTAATTGATAACTTAGATAATGACTCTATTTAGCCACTAACCACACATTACTTCTCACTATCAGGGCCAGAATTACAATCTGCACCCTCTACATTTTGATACTTGTACAAGCTAGCACACACTAAATAGTAACCAAAATTTAGCACCCCCACCACAACTAACATCCAATACACATTCTCTAGCTTCCCATTATTTATATTGTCTGGCAGCCATCTTGTGACCTTTTGAATCAAATTAATCACACCTGTGCCTAAATAAAAAGAAATCCCAATGATCAACGCGGCCATGGTGGTCGATGTGCTTCGGAGTGACACCGGAAATTCTTGATAAAACAATGCAACTTGCCCCGGATAATGAAATGCCTCTCCAATGCCTACCAAAATTAACTGTGGGAAAAGCCACAAGGCCAACATGGGGACAATTGCACCAAGCTGGTCTTGGAGGTGGTGGGTTTTTGCTATTTTAAGCCTTTTTGACTCCACTAGTGCTGAAACAACCATGCCGAGAATGTTTAACACGTGGCCTAATCCTATGCGTTGGAGGAATGTTGGGAACTGACCAGTCAACTTCTGCCACGTGGGCCACAAGAACCTGTCAATAACGGTGAGAGAGATGGCAGTGGAGATGAAGACAATTACTAAAATAGACCCTGCTGGGATGTTAAAATGAGGCCCAATCCGACGGTCCATGGTGAGAGCCTGCAAGATGGTTAAGCTGTATTGGACTGCTACGGGGGTACCTAAGAAAATAGTAGTTGACCATACTGGCAAAATTCTTATGAGGGTCTTGAAATCTTCTACTTGTTGCACTGTGCATTGTCTCCACGGTTTTCCAATTGAACCATCTGGTTTAATGTCTCCTTCAACTTTCTGTGCTGCACGGTTAAAAAACCTGCATATATATATATATATATATATATATATATAAGAAGGCATGTGTCATTAGCCTTGTATATTCTGCTGTCCAAAGGCTTTGAAGCATATTAGAAGCTTGTAATGAAAGTGAAAATTATACTATAACAAAAAGACAGAAAGAAAAACAAAACAAAAAAAAAAAGGCAAGGAAAAGATCTTTTATGAAGGCTTATCTTTTTGGCACAAAAATATGGCCGAAGTGGAGAAAATGAGACTTTGGTTGACGTATGAGGGGATTTAAATTTAGACCTCTTCCGACATTAGAAAGAGAAACACCACTAAATTAAAAGCTAGAAAAATAACTTTCTTTCGATGACAGAGGGATGAGTAAGGATCATATGCCCCCAAGAGATGACAACTAGGCAACAAAGTCTACCCAAATAATGAGACTTTGTAAAGCGTTATAGTTAACGCATTTGGTATATTATTAAACTCTGATCATAGATTATATTTTAATTTTTGTCCTTCATTAGGTACATTATTAACTTAGATGCATTATTCTACCTAAATGGCTTAGTGAACAAAAAAACATCAACATCTTCTCAAAAGGAAATCTAAATGGCTTAGATGTTAGACGATCATTGGATCTTAAACTGTTACGAAATTGGTCAATAACGATAAGGCATATGAGAGAAAGGATAAATCAAAGCGTAGTTGATACTATGTTATACTAACCCTAAAATCTTAAGTTAGCTAATAAAACATTAGAAATTTAAAGTAATGCTTGTACCTGAAGGTGGAGCTAGGTGTTGCGGAACCCACCAAGTCATCTGTCACTCCACCATG